AGATGAAGCAGTGAGTTACCTATGGAGCTGACTGAATATGTTGATTAACTTGCAGTGATCAAATTCTCCCCTGGTATTTAAGGTGTAGTACCTGCTCTGAACTAAGGAAACGGAAATATTTTTTTATACTATGGACCTCATTTCCATTGCAAATCCTGAAAATTATGTGATTATTTGGCAAGATTGACACCATGCAGTAATTGAAAACATCTAGAGAGGTCCTTTCACTATCACTGCCCCATTTTTAACCCTCTGTAGTCACTCTTCTAGTAATGGGAAAGCTGTTTGTCATATCCTGCCTGGTTTTGATTGTGAGGTGACCAAACAAAATGTGGTTTCTGATGGAGATGGCTCATGACTGCATTTGCCTTCAGACACATTATGTGGACATAACATCAGGACTAACATGTTCACCCATATTTCATGGCCATGATTATTACTACACAGACAGAATGAGCCTGGGTTCCTACAGTGCTGATGTTTAGCATTGGTAAGCTTGCACCTTGTACTTGGTTTATCACTGTGTACTAGGAATATGAAGCTGTAGATCCAGGCTTTATGTTTAGACAAATGGAAACTGGTTAATTTTGCTGAAACAGGCTTATGCATTTTTATTTCAATTTATCTTGCCTCTTTCTAATTGGAACACAAGGTATTTCTCAGCCCCCTTGGCTGTATGGAATGTAGGAGAGGAGAGAATCAAATGGCACACTCAGCCCAAGAGATACTGGCATAGTTTTGAGATTTCAGCCACACTCCAAGTACAGTGCAAAGCTGTGGTGGTGCTTGTGGACTGGATATAGCTCCATTTATATTTCTTGTAGAGAACAAATTAGGAAGGCAAAAGTTCAGCTAGAACTCAATCCAGTCACTGCTGTGTAAGATTATAGAAAGTGTTTTTACAAAACACCACTAACAAAAGAGGCACAAGGAACATCTCCATCCTTTATGGGATGTGGAGGGGAACATTATCACTACAGATAAGGAAAATGCTGCCTTCTTTGCCTCAGTCTTTAACAATAAGACTGGTCATCCTCAGGGCAACCAGCCCCCTGAGCTGGCAGTCAGGGGCAGAGAGCAGAAAAGACCCCCCACAATCCAGGAGGAAATGGTCAGTGACCTTCTGTGCCACCTAGGCACTCACAAACCCATGGGGCCTGATGGGATCCTCCCAAAGGTACTGAGGGAACTGGCAGAAGAGCAAAACCATTGGTAATTATTACTAAGTACAAATTACTAACATACATGACAATTATGCTTAGATACTTTATATACTATATGAAAAATTTAGGACTGTGATGGATGAATTCTCATGAATCATAGGTCTTCCCCATCCCCACCAGAGAAAGGAAACTCGCCAAGTATTTATTTTATTCTAAACTTTGAAATAGTTTCAGTATTGAAATAAAAAAATACCAACCAAAACTCCCCAAAAACTAAGCCTGAAAGTCCATCTCACTAAACATAGCTGATTTTTGATCTGAAATATTTTGAAAATATTTCAGCTGATTTCTCCCATACTTTCATTTTATCATATAGCCAATGCTTAATTACAGAATATGCATTTATTTGGCAGCAAGAAGCTTGTGGTGGTCACAGCCTGGGTAACACACCAGACCCCATGTGCAGTTGCTGTTATACATCACAAGAATTCTCTTTTGAGGTCTGTACTCATGGTTGATTTAAATGACCACAGCTCTGTTGAATTGGCTGTGGTATTCTTTTTACCAACAATTAATTTGGTCTTGCAACCACTGAAAAATCTTCAGGATCATGAGCTTTATTTCAAGCTCATAAATAGAACAAAACTGCACATCCCAGTTGAATATCAGTCTTTGACCTACTCTGATTTTTTTCTTCTGTTCTTCATAAATAATCACTGTAATGGAAGCAGAGCTGCTCTGGAGCAACAAATTATAAAAGTTGTACTTGAGTCTGCTGATTGGGATGTGATTGAATAGATAATTTACAGATGACTATTGAACAAAGAGCCTCTGGTGGCTCAAAATAACCCATTTCTTTGTAAACTCTTGAAAGCAGGGGAAAAACAATGCCAAACCCCCTCTCTTTAAAGGCCAAGGTAAGCACATGGAGTGTGTTCTGGCTGTGGAAATGATCTGCTCTGTCTGGGTGGAAATGAGGGGAAACTGAAAAACCCAGATGGAGAAATGGATACATGCTGTAGCATCTGAAGTGAGCAGCCAGTGGGGCACCAGCAGGAAAGGTTCCCTAGGTAACACCCAGAAAACCGGTTTGTTCCCCAGTCCTGCATCTCCAAATGATGCTGTTCCTATTGATCTAACAGTGGTGAGGAGGAGGCTGGCTGTGCACTGCTAGCCTGGGCTGCAGGCTCTCCCACAAACACAGAGCTGGGAGAATGTGTTTAATACTCAGGGCTTTGGCAGCTTGCAGTCTGCCTGAGAGCAGCGGAGCTAGACTGAAGAGCAAAATGATGGTGCTTAGGTGATGTGCTCTGAGACTGGAAAAGAGGGGAAAAAAGGGGAAAACTGTAGATATGATAGAGACAGTCCTGCAAATCAAACCTGGGTGACATGGTTCTGCAGGGAATGCTGGTGGTATCCCTGCTTCTGCCAGCAGGAGTGGGTTTCTGTTGCAACAGGGCTGTGCTACTCTGCAGTGTCTCCTGCACTGAACCTGCCCATGTGTCTGCTCTCATCTCTGCTTCTGTTGACCAGTTCTCAATATGCTCATAGAAATGCCTTGGTTAAAGCAAACCAGTGATTTAATTCTTGGTTTCACTTCTAAGTTTTCAGTGTTACAAGGACATTACAAGTCCTATTAAGCAAAGCAAAATAAGCTTTAGCCTGCATGTTAGGTTAGCCACAGTGAGTTACCATATAAATGAACAGTTCTGAAATGTACCCAGCTCTTCCACTGGATTTATGTTTCAGTACATATCACATCATAGATTCAACAAACATAGATCATTTTAAATGGACAGCTATGTACAAAATTATTATACAGTGTTATTACAAAACTTGAGAAATAAAGCTCTGAATTTTGAAAACACAATACTGCACAGTCCCAGTTTTAAAGCCAAAGTAACATGATTCCACACATTTTGCAGCTTGGACATAGACTCTTGAGTACAAGCAGCTGACAACAGAAGTCAAACCCAGAGATTTACTACAGGATAAGCTGAAAATGTGTCAAATAGAGCACTCTGGAAAACCTCTTTCTTTTGCTTTAGTAAGAGAAACTAGGGCCCTGGTTGTCCAAAAATTGATGGATGCATTGGCCTGTGTGACAAGACTACTTGAGACTACTGATGTGCTTCAATTGCACATAAGCATCATGTAGGAACCAAACACTGTTTATATGGCCATATGCTTACTAAAATACAGTTTAATTGTTTTTGTTTTTTTCCCTGTAACGAATTTCCCTTGCTTTAAGTGCTTGAGAGTAAAAATACATTTGTCTAATCTAGGTCTTGGACCTGGTCCAATATAAGTCACCAGTGGGCAACGAGAAGAGGGACTTAACACACCTCCACCCGTGATGGTACAGCCACTGCTTAATTTATACCCTTAATTTAGTTGAGGCACTACTGTTTTTAACACTTCTTTGAGGACTAAACACTGCAGTCTGTTCTTGGGCCACACTCAGCTGTCATTTCAAGAGGAGTTTGGCCTAAGAGCAGGGTGAAAGACTTGGCTTCCAGGACAGTGCATGACAGGTCTGACCCTTTCACTGCCACTATGCACAGAACTGTCCCCTGCCCCCACAGGTGCCCAGTGCACGGCACAGGCTGAGGGGTCCAAAGTCTCTGGGGAGGCTCTTTAGGCTCTGGGGAGGAGAGTGAAAGGCTGCATGAGGAGAGGCTGTGGGTCTTCATGGGGCAGAAGTTGTCCATGGTGGCATTCCACTGATACAGAACCTGGAGTCTCAAAAGTTGGCAGTGCTCCAGGGACACGAGAGGTTCTCTCACACCTTCTGTCTTGCCATGACACCTGCAAGAAGAGGGGGAAATGCAAATTATTTGCAACTATGAACAAAAATGGTGTGGTTTTGCATGTGTATCTAATGGCTAAGGTGGTACTTGGGAAATCAGTTTCATCTGTTCCTCAGATAACCTAAAAACAGATAGTTTGATGTACTTAATAAAAACCTCATGTTTCCAGAACCAATCCTGATGTTCCAGAGTTTGGGCAACTTTGCTTTTAAGTTTAGTCCAATAATATATATCTTTCTAGGTATGAAGCATCTGTCCCTCAGGAATTAAAGGAAAACCTGGACTCTCAGTCCATTCTGTGTCTTTGCAGTGGAAGGCTGATGTGCCACTGTGCCATGTGCATGTCATAGCTGCCCTGCTGCCCTTTCCCTCCCTCCTCACCAGGCTGTGGTCTCTGAGCAGCTCTGTTCTCCTGGTCTGGTTTTTCTTTTACTTTTTAGGGAATAAATCAAATAGATTGGTGAGCAGGGAGATTCTAAAGCCCAGTTGCTGAAGCACAGCTGCTTATGGACTTGTGCTTGCAAGACTTTTCCCTAAGCCATTCCAAGTGACATACAGATAGGAGGAAAAGGGGAGCTGCACAAACAAATGTGAACATTTGTCTGTAGAAATTCTCTAGGGTCTAAGGCAGGCAAACTCAAAGAACAACACTCTGGAGTTCAGGTGTCTGTACAGTCTCTCCTCTCTTTTACTGTCACCTTTATAAAATGATTCTTTAAGCTCTTTCTGGACTTGGTTGGAAATGAGTTGAGATGTTACCAGGGTGCACACAAACAGCATGACCACCAGTGCCTTGATTCAAGAGGAAGAACAGCTAAACTATTTGTTTTGAGAACATGAAGATAATGTGGAATAGCACTCCTTAAGTGTAAAAGCCAGCTAAACTATTTGTTTTGAGAACATGAAGATAATGTGGAATAGCACTCCTTAAGTGTAAAAGCTGACATTTAAAGACATTAACATTATTACAGAAATTGCTGCATAACAAGATATGGTCAAGGTGAGGCAAGAACTCAGTAGCTGATTAAAGTCTTTTATTGCTCTGAAATATTATCACAGTCACAGGCTGTTCCTGCCCTCTGCTGCTGTTAGGGAAGCTCTAAAAACTCATAAGGAGTTTGAGTCTTGATCCCTGCAGCTGTATCTTCACAAGAAAGAAGATGATTCCTGTGGCTTCACTGAGATCCATAACTTCCACATCAGCAAATCCACCAGAGAAAGAAATGTTCTGTACCAAAAGAGAACTAGTGGGGACCTGAACAGATCATGTATGCTTGGACAAAACATAAAATAAAAAAAAAAATCAGGTGGAAGATCCTAGGAAAAAATATTGATTGGTAACACTCTAGGCTTGCTGAATCTGTCTTACCAAGAAGTTCTGTTTTATCTGTCTCATGATGACAGGAGCTGCATTTGGGAGAGGAAGCTCTCTGGCAGGAGACTAAGACAAGCAAAAGGGTTTTTGCTTCTGCTGCCCTTGCTGTGTGACATACAGAAGAAGAGGAAAAAGAGAAGTGCAGGTTTCAAGGTGTAGCTCATCTCTGCCCTCCTGGCATCAAAGCCCAGGTAGACTCTGCTGGTGCAATGCCAGGCTCTGCATTGCAAGGCTGCAGTGAAACACCTGCCTGGCTTGGTCACTTCATAAAGGTATTGTATGCCCATGCATTCCTCTGTGTTGTGCTTCTATCTCTTCCTAGGACAAAGCAAAACCGTGTTTTATATTTTTTTCAAATATGACTTTTTTTTAAGCCTGTATGCTTAAAAAAAAGTCTAAGTTAAGCTTATCTCATGGTTCCAGCTGCCCTTCCAATGCAGCATGTGCACTGGTCCTGGTGTACGTCTCACCTATGCTTCATTGCTACTATTTTCTGTTCCTGCAGGAAATCTTCCTTAGGACCTTTTAAACCAGCAGAGCTACTTCTACTTCATGTAATCCTATGGTACTGCAAGAAAAGGGCCAAAAGGAGGGCAGGAGTACTCAGGACTGTAACTACCCAATGTACATCCCATTTCCTCTTGCTCCAGTGATGCTCCAGGTGCAGGAACAAAAGCAGTCCTAAGGGGAAATCCTGCACAGATTCCTCGTGTCTCTGTGCAGGAGCAGGGCTCCCAGCTGGGCTCCCAGCCCCAGGGAACTGGGGATGCTGGAGAATAAATACATTCCTTTCAGGAAACAAGACAAAGAGCAATTTGCTAATATTGATTTAGTTCATAAGAGATGCTCATCAGCGTGGAAAGGACAATGCGTAACTATGCAATTTCAGTACAGTGGGTGTTTCAGTTGTTTATTTTTCTTGCTTTTCATTCCACTTGCTGTAAAAGCAGGGGAAGTTTTGCAAATGAAAGTCTCATCCTGGAACTCCTTTTGAGGGGCAACCGTGTGTTGCCAGCATCAGTGAAGGATGCAGGGAACTTGTGTGAGAGTCTGGAGTTGAATTTAGCTTTGAGTGATATCTTGCCCAAACTAGTATTTGTCCCTGGGTCCAGTGTTTTATTCCCTTTTCCAGACACCCATATTTAAACAGTGCTATAGAAAGTGGTTACCCATAAAGAAACCAAATGTTCTTTGCTGGAGGTAGGTACTGAAATTGCATTTTTACAGTTTTTGAGAAAATAATGTGATCAAAGCAAGGACTTTGTTCATCACATGAAGTTTGATTGTTTGGTTAGAATAATGGCTTTTAATTATCTGCAGGGAGAAGCAGTTTGGCTGCTGCTGACACAGAGGACAAAAGTGTGGGCAGTGACCCTGTGTTGAATGGAGATCAGCACTGACTCCACTCAATGCAAGATCAACACCCTGGAGAGTAAAAATCAGAGTAACAAATTTATTTCACATGTGTTTGTGATCAGACAAAAAGACAAAGATTAGGTGAAATGCTGAATACTGATTAGGTCTGTGAAGTGCCAGTGCTGTGGTTAGTTCACAGAAAGACACCTTTGTGTGTTTACATACCTCATTGTGCCACACAATCTTTTTTTGTTTTATTATCTCCAGTATCAGTCTCAACCTCTGCTTTGAACAAAAGAGAGACACTAAATGTATCTGATCATGGCAAGGCCAAGGTAACAACAGGGAACTTTTTGTGATGAGAATACTGTCTAGTAGCAGAAAGGTTCCTAAGAACATAGAATATTTGAATGGTTTGGCTTGGAAGGAACTTTAAGATCATCTAGTTTCAACCCCCTTGATACCATCCCTGGATGCCCAGGGAACCCTGTGGCTTTTGCAGGTTGGGGTCAGTTCTTAAGCCAGAAGTCCTAATTTCAGGTGTCAGGAAAGAATTGCCAGGACTGTGAGCATGGGATGCTCCCATTGCTGAACCTTCTGCTCCTCCACAGAAGCAAGTTTGGGAACCATTGTTACAGGAAATCACTTGTCATTCCTGGCTTGCTTTTAACTAGAGTAAAGTGGTATGTTTAGAAATGTAAATAATTACAACCCTGGGGCATGCTGCATTAAAAGGCTAAGTCCTTCTGTGGTAGCTGCTCAACCTATGCTGTCTTTCTCAGCAATGGGTATTCAAACCCTTCTATTTTTTTTCTTCCATCCTCCTTGAAAGAAAAAACATCATGCATTGGTAAAAAGATACTTTCCCATTTGCCTTCCCATTTGTTTGACCTCAGGATCTTGCAGGAAACAGGCTTTGGAAAGTACATTGTAAATTCTAAAGGCTGACAGGCCCATCTCTGTTTCCTAGGAGGCATCTCCAATTTGGGATTAAGGAAGCCACCCGAGGGTGGTAATGATCTAAAGGACTTGGACATTCTTCCCAGGTTTGGGACTGGCCGAGGACTTTTGGCATGAAGAGAAGGCCTGTGTGGCTCCAGCAGCTCAGCTCCCTCCCAGCCCCAGCAGGGCAGCCCAGCTGGAGGATCCTTGGTGGAAGCATCAGTGAAATGCTCTTTTTCAGTGCCTGACCTTTCCCCCTCCCTGTGCAGCGATGGTTTGAGGGCTTAATGATCAGAAGCCACCTAAAGTACCCCTGGGGCAGGCTGTCAGGAAAAGTGCTGTTACAATGAGGGGAAAAACCAAACAACCCCAAGGCAGCATTGATGTTGCTGGTTTTATGTGTTTGTAAGTAGTTCAGAGGGGGTGATTGCTGATTAAGTACCCAGTATTAACTGCTCTTAATCACTGCTCTGGAGCCTAATGGAACTCTTGTTTGCACATAACCATGCTTTGTAGCTGTCTTTAGCACACTTGACAGATGTGCTTATTGCCATCTTTACTGTGTATGTGTAATGGGATTTTTAATTATTGATTCATCATTACTTCTTTATAAACTACTTATACATGTCACCAGAATGAACTATGCTTGTGTTTTTCTTTTTAAAGCTCTTTCGGGTTTTAAAAAATATAATAGCTGCACAAATCGGTGTGGCTCTAGGGGCAGGGGGCTTTGGGCCCTGAAGTGGAAAGAAAAAGATGTACACAAATGTATCAGGAAGGTTCCCACATTTCAGTCAGTCCCCAAGGGCTATTTATAAAATAGGCTACCTGAGTAGCTTTTGCTGTGCCTCTTCTTCTTCTTCCGTTTCCCTGATGGCCTCTGCTTTTCCCTGTCGGTGTGAGCTTGCTCTGGGGGAAGTGTTGCTGAACAAGAGGAGTCGGTGGCCGGCTCCTCTGAGAAGGACTTGTCTTGAGAGGTGTCCAACAGCGAGTCTGTACCTGGGTCTTCATTTTCCTTCCTCATTTCTTTTGACTCCACCTGCTGGGCCTCGTTGCAGGGAGCAGACTGAGCACTCTCTGAGCCACCAGTTGGGCATTCCTTGTCCTGGCCTCCTGACGTGGACCTGTCAGTCCAGCTGAGCTGGTCTCTCAGAGCAGAGGCTGAACTGCTGCTTACAAAGCTTATCCTTGTGCCTATGTCAGCCACAGAGAAGGCAAAGGAGCCGCTCTTTGTGCTGGGCTGGAGGCTTTCCACGTTGTTTGCCTGCCCCATCCCAGGCCCCAGCATGGTCTGACTGGCTCCATCAGCTTCCACCATGCTCACTAAGGGGCTTTTGGTCTGGGACTCCTGTGGCAAACTTCCTCCAGCACTGTTTTTAGGCAATACTTGGCCTGAAGCCAAACCATTTGTAACACCTCCACCAGTCTCCATTGGGGCAGTGGCTGAGGGAGGAGGGCTTTCTGAGGGATGATCATCCTTGTTTTGCTCGGTCGAGTCATCAATCTGCTTCCCTGCTGCTTGTGGATCCTTCCTGCTCTTTCCTTTAAACAGAAAACACACAGTCAGCCACAGCTGCAGTTTCACCAGGAACCAAGATGCACCTACCCTGCAGAGGTTGCAGGTTAGTAGCTGCCTGTGGAGGGAGCACTGACCCTAAAGCTGCTATGCATAGGCAGCACCAATTTATCTTCCCTGTACCTCCCCGCCTTATACCCATGTGGTCACCCCACAGGCTCCAGCTCAGCAAAGCCCCTGATTTGTTTTCAGCAGGTGTTAATGTGTCTTTGCTGCAGAATGGCTGATTTCCATGGAAGGCCTAGGACTTGCAAGGAAGCCTGAAAATCTACGTCAGGAAGAGAGAACCTGCCTGTAAGGTCCTGGCCCAGGCTGGACTGCTGGCTTGGCTGTATGAGGAAGAGAGAACCTGCCTGTAAGGTCCTGGCCCAGGCTGGACTGCTGGCTTGGCTGTATGAGGACTTTAAGGCTGCCCATTAGCCAGACTTAACCTGCCCTTGCAGAACAGGTCTAGCAGTGCCACGGATAGACCAATGTCCTTGGACTTACCAAACTGCACTGACACTGGGGTCAAGAGACCAAAGAAAAGCTAAACTCATGGGCTGTCTCCTCATAAGCACCTAAAGGACTTGGGTACTTCTGCAAATAGAGTTTCTTATCTTTTTTAAAGGGCTTCTTCAGTCTCCAAAGTGTAGACTGAGATGGGATGCAGCAGTCTCCAAGGCAGAAACACGCTGTGCTACTGAGACTTGAGAGCTTGGAGGGGACTTGTGTGGAGACAACAGCAGTGCCCCAACAGGATGGTGCCATGGCTGACACATGGGTCAAGCATCTCAGAGGGTTTATCAGCACAGATGCAGGGCCATGCTGCTCCAAATTCCTGCTAATTTTGTGACAGACCTGGCTAGCAAGAGCTCAAGACTCTCTGTTCCTCTTCTCCTTGGCACTGCCTGCAAAGCCTTCTTAAATAAAATGCCCCAAATGCAAACACAAAGGCTTCTTGCTGGTGCATGCTTGGCTCAGGCTCAGAGGCAGATGGGAATGAATAGCTGCAGGTACAGTCAGGTCTGTGTCCTCACCAGAATGGTTTTCCTCCGGGCTCTCTGCAGACAAGGGTTTAGGAGCTGCATCTGACTCGTGTCTGTTCTTTGTCTTTCTCAGCGTGAACCCTTTCCTGATGTCGGCGAGCAGGGCGTCGATGACACACACCTCCTCCTGCTTCATCAACCCCTTCTTGACTGTGGGGAGGGAGAGATGGCTGTTAAATCTGCCAGGGCAGGAGAAGACTGCAGTGATGCCACTGCTGGAGGTGGCTACTGCTGTCCCAGTAAAAGCAACCACTGGGCAGGAGCAAGGCACCTACCACAGGCCTGGGAGCAGCCCAGCAGCGTATCCTGGCTGAAGACAAGGGATTTGTTCCCAAGTCTTGGTGCTACAGCCTAGCAGCAGTGGCACCAGCTCTGTATGGTTGTGCCATGACCTCAAAATATTCCCTGTTTGTTATTCCCTTTTTTTCTTGGAGGAAAAATAATTTTAATTTTTCTTACCTCTCAGATTCTTCCAATTATATTTTTCAATCTTTCATCCAGAAGAAGGCATATTTAAGTAACATGAAAGATTTTTGGGACAACTGTGGTAAAGAGAGACTATTCAAGTGTATACAGGGACCTTGGATGGTGGATGAGTCAAATGTTTCTTTTTAGATTTGGAATTAAAAAGTTATGTTTAGAAACTGAAAAAGTTAACTGAAATATTTAATTTGTGGCGGTTTTGTTCTCTGCTGTTCAGTCAGCAAACCTAAAATTAACTTCTCTGCCCAGCTGCAACTGTGGAAAGTCAATTCTTAGCTATGACTATGAGATACCTAAAAGCCTTTAGTCAGCCAGCACCTGGAAACCTACAAAATAAATTACCACTACTGCTCCATTAAAGCAGGACCACCAAAGAGCTCCTATGGCTCCAACTCTATTTTTTGAAGCCATTTCAGATACTCACTGACTTTTCCATTTTCTCCTTTCTGTCTCTTTCCCTCTTCCTCTTCTAGCTGTTTTTTCCTCTTCTCTGCTTTGGCAGCTTGCTCCTTTCTGTCCTTGTTTTCCTGCAGTGAGGTAACAGTGGTATGAGAAGGTTGGGTAAATGTCTGCTAGAGAAGCTGATGAAGAGAAAGGAGATCTATAGATGAAGGAAGAAAAAATTCTGGCCCCAACCTGTGCAATAAATAAAATGGGCATTGGGAATAAGGGCTGTCTTACCAAAATGGTGAGAGGGGACTGCTGACTTGGCCAGGACTCTGCCACATCCCAGTGGGAGGTGGCAGAGGTGATGTGCCTCACACAGCTACCTGCACTGTGCTCACCTGCCTGACCTCCAGCTGAGGTAAAAGTGGGAGATAGTGAAGCCATAGGTTTTTCCAAACAGGTGGTTTTTTTACTACATATCCCCCTTCTGAGCCTGTTTGCTTAGGTTGGAGCAGAGGGTTAAGTTTTGTAAGCCCCTTTCTCTAAAACTTGCACACTTGGCCCAAAAGCATCTTTGTGACTCTGCAGCTAAAGCTTCACCAAAATCACAAATCCCTGGTGTTTGGGCCAGGCCCAGCAGCACCAGAACTGCATGAGGATGCAGTGGAGGAGGGATCAGACACTGCTTCCCTGGGGGGAACGCCAAGTGCCAAAGGGAGGAGGCTGTAACCAGGTCCCCCCCTGGACTTGGGTGCCCATCACACCCTGTCCATCAGAGTGGAGGCAGCTACCACACTGGGGCTGCTGAGCATCCTGTGTGCAGATGCCAACCTTCAGGGCTCGGATGAAGAGATCTCTGAAGGTCTTCATGATGCTAAATATGTCCTCTAAGGACAACTTGCTTGGGTCTTCACAGAGATAATTTGCAAGTTCTTCTCTCTTCTTTTCAATGGTTTCAAATTCTTCTTCCAGCTTTCTGGAGGCATCGATGCTGTCCTGAAATGCACAAATGCACCCGGTAAAATACCATCCAGAGGACAACGAGTGAAGTGCACTCACAGAGAAAGGATTAGAGCTTAGAGCAGGACTCTGGGTCCTGGCTTTTAACTGCAGCAGAGCTTTTGGGAAACAGGTGGGAAGAAATTAAGATTTGCAGATGATCTTTACTCTTGGGAACTGTGCTGTGCCAGTTTGCAGGGGTGGCTTGAGCAAGACATGGAAAGCGCCATGCAAAGCTTAATCCCAAGCAAAGGGGGTCGCTCTGGTGATCCACACAGAACGTGGCCATCTTCTCTTCAAGTAAGGAGTCACACAAAAGCATGGATAGAGCAGTTGGGGCACACACCCTAAGAAATGGCTTCACCAAATGTATCTAGGTTTGGGGTGCAGCTGGCAAATGCACATTTGGGTTGTGTGGCATTGCAGCCTATTTCCAAATCCGAGAGCATATCCTGTGGCAATATTTTCTCCCCTCTCATGAGGCTCCTCAGCTGCAGATGTACCATGCACCACATCTCTGAGTGTAATTGGGGGAGATGTAAGGCAGCTCCATTACTGACCTGGATGGGTTTCTCATATTGTTGTTTCACATCCTCATTTGATGATAAGACTTTCCGCTGAAGCTCCAGCAACTTCTTTAAATTGGTCCCGGATTCGGTGCGTATAATATCAAGATTAATTCTGAAATCACACAGAGCCCTGCCATTAGTTGACACTCCAGCATCTTGAGCTGACCAAGGAGTGGACAAGTCGAGCTGGTGGCCCCCCTCTGCTTCCTACCACTTTGCTGAACCAAACCCTGTGCTCTGAATTCTCAATACAGTCCAAGCTCATGGAAAAAAGCTTCCCTCCACAATACTTATGGAAAGGCTGCCAGGCCCACCTACAGTTTTGTGTATTGGGTAGATCAATGTCAAAAAAAGTCCACCCATTCAAAAGGCTGTTCTCCACCTCTGTGCTCAGCATTAGCTCAATTTCCCTGCCTGGAGGTACTTCAGAAATTCTTCTGGGTAGCTGGCCTTGACCAGCTCCTGCCACTACAGAGGCAGTGCACATTTCAGAAGGGTCTGGGAGGCAGTTTTAACTGACTGCTCTGCACATTTCAGTCCTAAGTGTTGCCAGCTGTAGTAGAATTATATATTAAAGGGCTTTCAGCATTCATCAACCAAATCTTTCAGTTAAAACTATGTAAGATGTCATCTTGTTAATCTCTATAACAGCTGTGTGTGTCCTAATTTCTGGTACATTGTTGATGTGCATGGGATTTATTTTTGTTCTTAATTCAAAGGAAGTGACACACAATTTTACCCTGCAGCTTTTGAAACATATTCAAGATCCTTTGGCAGCTCCAGTAGGTCCTTGTGGCTGTTTTCTACTTCCTGAAGAGGAAGAGAGAAAGAAGTATTATTTGGTATGTGGCAGGAGCTGAGGGGAAGCTGGACAGAAGTGTCCAGGAAGGATGAGTGTGCTGTGTTCTGATACTCTCCCCCTGTCTGTAGTTTGTACATTCAGAGAGGAAAGGCGTTTCCCCTGGCTATAAAAACATAGAAGAGTGCTGAGCTCTGAGAAAAACTCATAGTTCAAAGCAAAGCAGAGCTCTTCTTGAGCATGGAGGAAGGCAGAACTGTGGCTGGATGCAATCTGACACTTCCTATGGTCCCAGAAGGATACTAAAAGGCCTTGAATCTCATTTGCATTCTTTACTTTCACAGCCATCCTTGCTGAAGCTACTGCCAGATAAAGCAGGGTTTGAACATGCATAACTGAGAAACCAAGGGACATTGATGAATGAAGGTGGCAGAGCAGAGCATGGAGAAAAAAGATAAAAACAGCATTGCAGGGAATAGGAAAGCCATGGGGGCTTGGAGAGAAGCATGAAAAGCCTGAGCATAGTCTGGAGGAAAAGGGAAAGTCCATGGAAAAGCAGAAAGGCTGAATGATGAGCCAGGACAGCTTTGTGCTCTGTGGTTTGAAGCTGCTGATGTGTAGATTGCACAAATATGAAAGGAAGTTGCAGACACTGTGGAAAAGATACTTGAGGGAAGCAGAACAAGTCTTAAAATAAGGAGTAGTGCCCACAAGCAGACTCCACCAGAGTCACCACAGTGATTCAAATGCTCCTGACTTGTGACACTTTGGGGCTTGCCAAGGAGGACGTGAGTATGAGCATGTGGCATTAGCCAGCAGTAGAGTAGGAGAAATGTTTCATCTGTGATAAAACCCTCCCTCTTCCCTACTGTGCAGGACTTAGCAGTGGTACCTCCAGAATATGGTGGAGCAGTGTAATGCGGGTTTGGTTTGCTTTGGTTTCTGTTAGTTTGAGTAAAGTGCTGATTTTAAACCCATCGGCATCGCCTGTGTGACTTCCCTACAAGAGAGAAAGAAAACAGATTTAATTCCTGTGTCCATCCAAATTACAACCCTAAAGGAGACCATTCACAGACTGTAATGGGGGGAGGAGAAGACAAAAAAAGTCCTTACGTAGTTCAGGAAGTTTCCAACTTTGAGAATCAGTTGACAGAAGACTGGCAGGCGATGACTGGTCAGAAGATCTGAAAAACATAAGGGACTTTGAAGCAAAAGCCTCTGCTACACCAGAACATTTCCTAAACTGCATTGAAATTGGAATTCTGAATTCCACTAAATCAAATTTTCTATTTTGGCTTTGCACTCCAATGCCCAACCAGCAGAGAAACTGATTCTGTGTAGATTCAGTTCCATGGGTTGTAAAAGTCTTTGTTGACTCATGTTTCCTTCTTTATATATATTCTCCCATTTCCTAATGGAAAATAACCTGGAGTTGGACCCTCCTCACTAACAGCAATCAAGACCCTGCCTTCCTTGCAAGTTTTCCAGTGTGGGCAAGGATAACTGGGTTGCAAATTTAACCTTGCCAACTTTATTTAGCTGTGCTGTGACTGCCCTATGATCACCTGCCAGCTGCTAAAACCAGACATGCTCACCCTGTTCCTGGTCTCTCATGGCACAGGTGATTATCAACCAGGCATGAAGAGTACAGTCCCTGTCCTTGCTCTTACACAGGGTGCTGCAGTGCTGTGCTTTCTGAAGCACTCAGATTTGAGGCAGGAACAGCTCCAAAAGAATAACTGAGCTTCAGGGGAAACTTCAATTTATCCCAGCAGACAGCTGTAATCCCAGCTGGAGAAACACCCAGCATGAGTTGGGGGAGATGGCTCTGTAGGACAGGTGACACTTGACAGTGCCAAGAAGAGCCTTTTACTCTCAGAGGAGCAGGACTAAAGGTTTCTGCCACAGAAAGCCAGAATCTATTGCATAAACTTTCTGTGTACTCACCATATTGGAGCATCAGCAATTTATAACCCAAAATAACAAGCTTTTTCTTCTGGTTCCATTTCTAGGCAGGGAAATACTAAAGCATCGCTACTTTTGAGAGAAGTTTGGGGTAGGCTTTTCTGGCAACAAAGAAAATTGCTGTATGAAGTTCTTAATTTGGGAAATAATGTTGGATGGATTAATCAGCTGCAGCAGGGCCAGCTCTGCTGTCTAAATTCAGCTCCTCTGAAAGGGCTGATGAACTTCCAGCACTTCACCATTCAAAGTGTTTCAGAGAAATACATCTGCTGCAGAAAAAAAAGGATGAGGGTGAGAGAAAATGATCTTTGGTCCTGTTCAGGGCTTTGACCATCAGTGGAGATACCTAAAGTTGCATCCAATTTGCAGCAAACCAGTGAATTTACCACACAGGAGTTCTTTGGGGTTTGGGTGGTAATATTGCAGAATTCCAGGGGAGTTTTGTGGGGGGTTAAAATTTCCTGTCTTAAATCAGATGCAGAAATAAGCTCAGGTCATCAATACCTTCACAGGCTCTGCGGATGGCTTCAGCTTTGGGCTGAATCATGTCGAGCACGACCGTGGTCTCTTCACAGATCAGCATACACTCGATGCGCAGCTGGTAGCTAAAGGTGGAGATGGATTCACAGCATAAAGGCACTGGGAACTCAGCCCCCTTCCCACATCACCAGCAAGCCCATGCCACCCCACAACACTGCTGTCAACCATAACCACACCAAAACACTGGCCTGTGGAGGGAGATGAGGGGCCACTGCTTGCCCTGAGGATCAGCAGGGATCAGTAGATTCTGCTGATGCACTGTGATCAGCAAAGAGAAGAGTTTCCCCTTCTTGGCACTGCATTTGGCACTGCCTTTCACTAAGTTATGGAGCCTCCTTGGGCAGATCTAACCCTGAGTCTGGGCCAGCTTCTTCTGCTCCAGAGGGAGAAGAGGTGGCTGGATCAGGAAGAGCCCTGCAGCTAAGGGTAGCAGGGAAAGGGATAGCTCCGAGGGGGAAGGGAGAATCCACTAGTTATATCCATCAGTGGTGGTCTGTGAGTCTTCTATAAAGAAACTTAAACTTCCCAAGGGTAAATCAAGAAACAGATTAGGCTGACGGTCATAACAACCTTACCTGGGAATCTGAAGGAGAAGAAGATAGAACTGATCTGCATTTGCTAGTTTTGACTTCTCTTCTTTGAAAGCCTTCAGATTTTCTATCTAATGAGAAATAAAGAATCAAGACTGCAGGGCTGCATTATGTGTTCAGCTCTGTGAACCAAGGGTACTGTTTTCCTCCTGACCTCATGCTTTTCAGGCAGCAGCTTCAGCAACTGCTTCAGAACCTCAACATCAAACTTGGTCCGGTCCCCATTCTGGATCATGGCAGTCACCTCTTCATTGGAGCTGCAGGGAGGAGGAGCAGAGCCAGCCATCAACCAAAGACCACTTTTCAACCATCACACACTACCAAGAGATTTATCTGTGCAAGCACTCTGTGCTTTCCCTATAGAGTCACAATAATCCAAAAGGAAAGGTATCTCCCCACAATTAGCTTGCCCTGATCAAATGACTCAAGGCCAGAGATGAATCCTGCAACTGAGATCCTGTCTCTGAGTATTTTTTTTTTTATCTTAAAAGAAAATTGAACTCTTCATTTGTCCATTGGCCCTGATTTGAGGAGGAATTTGACCTCTAGGTGTGTCTCACAGTCTATGTCACCTTAAGAGTCTGTGCCACAGCTTCATCTGTAAAATGGAGATGTAACTCTTTTGCCAACATATGGGGAAGTTGTACATAAAAACATAATTAAACCCCTGAAGTCAGTATTTTAAAGACAGTGTAGGACAAAATGGGGAATTTTCAGATGGTTTAGTAGCATGGACCACCAAAGCACATTGGCTAGAACAGATTTCGTGAGGACCTTCCAGATACTGCAAAACCTGCTCAAAGTTTTGTCAACTGTCACGAAAACTGGCCATATCTTACCATTTAAATTGCTTCAAAAATATGTTCAAATTGAGACTTTTCTTGGAGTCCAAAAATGTGATCTTCATTAAAGAAAAAGAAGATATCTCATATTAGATGAGCTGTCTGCAGGGATCGTTATTCGAAAAAATGAGGGGGGCCTCCTCACCTCCTTCGGCTCTGCCTTCACTGGTGCTGCTGTCTTCTCCTTGGGGGTTGGCTGTGGGAAGCAGAACAGCTGCTCGATGCTGCTGTAGTTGGGCTCTATCGTTTCCTCGCTGCTGCTGCTCACAGAAGCCCACATTGAGTGGCTCTCTGAAAGAAAGACAAAGTGTCCAGACTTGCTGCAGGGACAGCTGAAAGCTCCTGGCACCTGGGGCAAGGTGAGCTGCTAGCAGGGACACTTCAGAACGTGAATGAAGAAGAGACATATTAGTCTCTTCTGGATAAATGGTCATTATTGAGGAGGGGCAAGCGCCACATGTGGGATCCAAAGGGCTTGAAGGGCAAACCTGGCGAGGGGAGGCAGCACTGGGCACACAGAGGCTGTACAGCCCCATCCCTCCTTGTAAAACTGTGTTTTCCTCCATGGTGGGCAATTGGATCTGCATGACAAGGACCTCAGACACTTTGTTTCTAGTCCCCTGGTTGATATTATTTTTGCTTCCTTTCATCCTAATGGAGGGACTGGGTACTTCTCCATTCTTCTTCCATTCTTCTGACTGTGTCCTTCTCCACTTTTCATTTTATACTCAAATCTCCTTGTATAATGCTGGCTACAGGACTGCTTGAATTAATTTCTACTGCAATTCCTTATATCTTAAAAAAAAATCATCACCCTAACATGCCTGTAGAAACCTCTACTGAAATAATCCTAACATTTTACTGCTCTTGTGATTGAAGACATGCTTTATTTAGATTTCACCTCTGCCTACTTCCATGCAGTGGATGCCTTACTTGTCTAGGACAAAGCTGACACAGCTTGTCCCATCTTCTTCTCACATTTCATGCTCCACTTTGAATCCACTAGCAGAGGGAAATGTAACCCAAAAATCAACAGATATGTGATGTGATCCTCACATGCACTCTTACTCATGACTTTAATATACCTAGATACAAGCACAGATGAGCTGGGCAATAAAAGTTTGGGGAACTCAGAGCCTGATCTAAGGCACATCATACTGAATTTGGAAAATATTCCCATCCCTTTCTCTTAAGTTCAAAGTATTTTAGTTATAAACAAGTTGTTCCAAAGTACTAATTCAGCTGGAATAGTTACATTAGTAGTTTCATGTTACTTTTATATCAGGTATGTAGGTCAAAACTAAAGGAAAACAGGGAAGTTCTGTATCTAAACAGAGTCAACCACATCTGGCAATTTTTAAGACAGTATTTCTTCTCCTGGGAAGCCATGTAAAGCACCTCTAAAGCAGCAGTGACCATATGCCAGCAGCACCCACCTCTCACCACGTTGGAGGGCAGCTTCTGCCAGTTCAGCTTCTTCATCCTCAGCGTTGGTGTCTTCACTGTCTTGTGGGGAGGCCTGCCCATGCCCAGGGGGCAGCTGTACTGGGAGGCCACCACGGCCTCTATGTGATCTCCTGTCATGCCAGGAAGGAGGGGTGGAGGAGGAGGGATGCCACCCATGCCAGGCAGTGGGGGTGGAGGAGGAGGGATGCCACCCATGCCAGGCAATGGAGGTGGAGGAGGAGGGATGCCACCCATGCCAGGCAGTGGAGGTGGAGGAGGAGGGATGCCACCCATGCCAGGCAGTGGGGGTGGAGGAGGAGGGATGCCACCCATGCCAGGCAGTGGGGGTGGAGGAGGAGGGGGAATACTCCCCATGCCAGGCAATGGGGGTGGAGGAGGAGGGATGGCAGGGAGTGGAGGGGCTGGAGGTGTATTTGTAATGGGGGATGTGGGGTTCATGGCTGCTGTGCCAGAGGGTAGAGCGGGTGGGGCTGGAGGTGCTGGGTTGGGAGCAGTGTTGGAGGGAGGGTTAGATTTCTCTGGCAGAGCACAGCAGGCTGTGAACTGGCAGGATGAGATCTTCTTTTCATTGGCCAGTGGCCCTGAGGAAGTCCCTGGTGCTCTGGTGGGGTTTGATGATCCCACTGGACACCGAGATGCACGAGCACATGGTTCTGGTTCACCCTGGACGCCTCCAGCTGCGCTCCCAGACAGGCGGTTCTCAGCTCGCTTTTGCTTGTTTGGATGTTTTTTGATAGATAGCAGCCTCTCAATGACTTCTTCAACTGTGTTCCCTTGGACTAGAGAAATGAGTCAGGGTCAGGGAGGGGAACGAGGCTCACAGGGAGGTTCACACTATTCAACCTTCACCAAGCAGCAGATCTGGAGCCAGGGAGAGCCCATTTCCTGGTGTCACTTTACACAACTACACTTTTGGCTTCTAAGCAATTTTCTTCCCATGTGCCCAGCCCACAAACACTCCTGCCAGTAAGACAGGCCAGCACCAGTGGCAGGATGCCAGTGAGGACAGATTCCCACTGAATCCCATGAACCAAAGCTCAGGGATTAACCATTAAAAAAAGACGTGGAATTCCAAGACCACTGCTAAATGTGGCCACCCACATGGATGAATCTTCACTTGACCTTATACAGAAGGTATAGCTTTGTCCCAGCTTCTGTTCAGCTGTCACCAAGTCCCACAGATTATTTCCTGCACACTGGGGAAAAACTTTTATGGGACAAGGGAAAACAAGAGGAGTGCGCGAGGCTGGATGTCATTCTTACTGTCGTTGGCGAGTAAAAGCGCTCTGTTCACTACGGCATCCAGGGACTCCCACAGCAGGAGGCTGGAGTGATGAGAGGGCTCCAAGTGCAGCAGGCTCTGAAGGATGGACAGCAGCTGGACAGAGACTGGGGAGCGGCTCACCTGGAAGAGAGCAGCTTCTGTCACAGCAAGGCTGGCTCCCAGAAAAGCGGATTAACTTTGCCATTGTGTGACCTTGCACCACATGTGAAGGGCAACTTACTTTATTGAAGAGAGATGAAAAAACCTCATGATGATCATTCATGTTTATCCCATCGCATATCCTTAATAATTCCTCATCATCCTCTATTTTGAACTCCTCAAATGTGTCACACTGGATAAGCAGATCCTCCTCCTCGATGTCTCTGCAATATTACAGCATTCGTTTTCATTGGAGAGCCTTTATCTAATTTTTTATTATTATAATTATATAATTATATATAATTATATATTACATTATATATATTAATGTATATTATTATTATATATTATTATATATATTGTTATATATAATTTTTACTATATTCTAATTAGATGATTGTTTTTGTTAAATGGCTTTTATCTCTTTGCCTCTCAGACTCAGCCAGTTGGTGTTGAAAGGACCCAACTCTTATTTATAAACCCTTATTTATAAAGGATGAGATGCCATCAGTGCATCCTTGCTTGAACTGAATGTACCTCTTCCTACAACCAGCACATACAAAGGAATGGGACTTCTCATGGCATAACCTGGCCCATTACAGGCTCGCTATGGAATTCTCCTTGGAGCTGTAAGAACAGAGTGGCATTCTGACCTTTTTGAAACCAGGCTGCCACCTTTATTTTCTTAAAGTCAAGACTAATTGAGAATATTCCAGTGATGTTTCTATTTGAAAAACCTCCTTCTCTGTTACTCAAAACTGGATTTATAAAAACACAGACACTCTAAAGCTGACTTTTTCAGCACTCTCAACACCACTCAGTGTCAGAATTTTACAGTTGCTGCTCTATTAAAACAACATCTCCTCCCTAATTTTTATTATTATAAAATTATTAATTATAACAAAAATAATTATTAATATAATTATTATATAGTATTATTATTAAATTCTATTTTAGTGTTGGATGCAGCAATTCCAGTTACATGGATAATTACAACTCACATAAACTGCATTCTAGAATTTATCACAGATGTTTCTGATAGAACATAATTTTTAAATTACATTCAGATATGCATTAGGAAATTGTTTTAGCTGGATGCTTCTGGGACCAACAGCAGCAGTGAAGTGATTTTGAATACAGTGAGCTGCTCAGTGAGCCCACAGCATTGCTTCAGATTCAGTCTGAAACAGCCTCAGTGAGGACATTGCTACTCCATCTGTGCCCAGAGCCTCTGTACATGCCATCTGTGCCAACAGCTGTCCCCATGACACTGTGGTTGGCAAGAGCATCTTCACACTGGCCAAATGCCTCTAGCTCTCATGGAATGGGTGCATACAAGCATGGTCCACTCCACCCAGGCACACTGCACTTCACACGACAGAAGGTTGGATAAGTATGAAGTTTCCACAGCTACTTCAATGTAAATCTCATTTTTAAAAAAAATTAAGTCGAGATTCTTACCTTAGCTTGTCTAAAACATCCAACAGCTGAAGCCCTGGAAGGTGAAAAAAACAGATATAGTTGCATTATGATCCACCTGGTACTTATCTGTTATGATCTTTATACATGCTATGCCCATAAACACTTCCTGCAGAGAGAAAAAGTGAAAATATCTTCAGATGGATCTATCAAAGTGGGTAGAGTCATTTTGCAAGTGATGAGACACCACAGCACACATCTGCAGCACCTGTGAGAACCACTGCACAATCCCCCTGGGGTTACTGAGGGACACAGGCACTTTTGGGGCATGAGTAACCTCAGTCCAAATTAGGTATCTAAAATCAGTCTGATATGGTCAAATCCTTGATCTGGATGGAGAGAAATGCATCACCCAGTATGTGAGGTGAATCCCAACAATGGGACCTAGGAGCCTGGGATTCTTGCAGTTGGAAATAACTTCTGAACCATGGGACAGCCTCTGTGGCAAAACTGAGTAACACAGAGTGAAGAAACTTTATCAACTCTTACAAGTAGTTGCAGTATATGGAAATGTGGCCACATAAGATGGTTGGTTATAGAAATGTTCTGAAGAAGCTCAAGTGATATGGTGCTGCTGGGATACCAGAAAAGATCAAAGTTGTGGGAAAGCAGCAAAGCTAAAAAAATCTGTCGACAGAAAGGCTGTTGAGAATAAAGGTCAAAGGAAAAAAGAAAATTCATATTTGCAGTTTTGCTCCCCAGGCTCTTCAGGCACCTTATGGATACATCTGAAAAAAACCCATTTGGTAACTGACTCTCTCCAGGGAAGGGTGTAACTAACATCCTTACCTATGAACTCGTTTCTGATTTGTGTCCTTGTCCTTAGCTCCTCTTTCCCCAGGATGATGGCATTGATGGCACTCAGCAGTGTCACCATGTATGGCACGTTGTCTGTGTTGGAGAGCTCGTTCATTATGATGCTGAATCGATACTGCTGGTTCTTCACACTCTGTTGGTAACACAACTGATAGTATGACAAGAATGGTCTATATAGATGTAAATGCCCATGACTGTGGTGCAGGCTCCCCAGTGGAATTAGCATCTCAAGTCCTCAGTTTATCCCACTGTGCACAGGACAGGAAGACACAGATAAAACCAGTGTCCTCCATTATGGAGCAGGGGCTGGTTGGCAGAGAAAGTAATTGAAAACACCCCTTGGATCTCTTTGTGCTTTCTGGTAACTGGTGCAGGTATCTGAGTTCGTGGGCAGTGAAACCTGTGGATTTATTCTGCTGATCTGGTGGTGCATTTGTTGCCAGAAAGCACCTTGTGGTTGGCAGTCATCTGTCCACACAAGTCACAGAACAGCACCACAGACCTACACTGACCACAGAAAACTTCCTACAGCTTTTACTTTACAAACCTCTACTTCTCATACCAAAACAATGCAAAATAAACCTTATTCCCACCCTTTTCTGTGGTACATGGATCTGTCTGCATGGATCAAAGCTGAGCCCTTTCTCCTGCTCCAACCAAACACTTGCCTTGTAATGGTCCAAGGCATCCAGAGCCAAAGAGTGGCCATCTGATGAGTAAATGCACAGTGCAGCCAGGAGCTCAAATATCTGCTTTTTGACCATGACATTAGTTGTGTCAAGTGCTGTAGGAAAAACAGAAAAAAAAGCACAAATTTATAATGACATTAATGTTCTGAAGTGCAGTGCCTTCTGCTACATGGATTATGAGCAGTAGTAGAAAAGAGACTGAAGGAGGGGACCCATTGCCATAGAAGATGGGAAGAGAAATATCTTAATGTACAGATATCCCATCCCAATAGCATTATGTGATGATAACTTCTAGTTGGAACAGTAAATGCTGCAGGTATCCCATTGGCATTTTGGGGCATCTTGTATTTAGTAATCTTTTCCACATCCCATGTGACATGCTGCAACAGCAGCCAAGATTTTTCACCATTCACAACATTTATTCCCCTTTTTCACATGTGGGTATTTTCTAGAATAGCAGATGAACAATTTTCTTAGATTAATGGCTCTTATTTTTAGTGCAGAAAAGCTCAATATGCATATGAACTAGAGCAATTGTTCCAATGGGTTCCCATGTGTTCCCTTTTGGCACTACTCTTTCTCTGTGAGCCCTGGGAGCTGGGAGGGGGATGCATTAGGCTGTCTTATTTTTCCTATATTACAGCACAAAGAAGCTCCAACAATGAAAAGTCCAGGATACCCCCCTGTTTTCACAGGACAAAAATGCCAGGTCCATATTTTATATAGGCTAAGAAAATGCAGGATAAAGAGGAAGGAAAGAAGGAAAGAAGGGGACTTCAGAACTGAAGAGGGAAGCAAATCAGCTTTCAGACTAAATGCACTTTAAAAAGCTATTAATAAGGGTTTCTAGGTACATCTCTGATCTCTGTAGAGCAGCACAGAAGTTATCCTTCCAGCACCATGAAGTGCTGTACAGTAAGTTCTATGAGATGCCCTGATGAATTTCAAAGCTGAAATTTTGAATTTTCAAAGCTGAAATTCACGAGCCAAGTGAATGGCAGGAGGATGTAAGTGGTGTTACCCACCATCCTTCAGAAGGAGCAGAGTGAGCAGCACAGAGAGCAGGCTCTCTTGAGTCCAAAGATGCCATTTTTTCTCCTCTTCACCAGCTACAAGACTCCAAGCCCTTTCAGTTCCTCTCCTCTGCCCTTGGGGCTCTCAAGGACTGAATAGAAAATGTTTGCTGACAACCAAGGGGTTGAAGATTTCTCATGCCTGTATAGAGATAAGGCTGGGTTTATCCCCAGCTTCTCAGTAAACTGTGACAATATTTGGAAATATATGGAAATAGCACTTGGTGGCAAAGGCAACATGATTTCATAGCAATTTTATTTTAAAGAGGAAAACAACCTCATTAATGAGTTGTGACCAACCATTTCCAATTAGCCTGATGCAGGGCAGGAGGAGAAGCAACAGGAAAATGCCCTCCCCGATGCCACACGTGCTGGATGAAGCAGGAGGATGTCTTCTCACCTTGGAAGAGTTTTCTGACGTAGCCCTCGTTGCTCACAATGTATTCTATGCCTTTGTGGGAGTTCATGACCGCTCGCACACAGCTAATGCAGGTGAGCTGAAGCAAGGCATCGGATATCCTGGCCACTCCTCGCCCAGACAGCCTGTCCAGGGCCTCCAGGAGGAGGTCCAGGCCGGACAGCTCCAGGAACTGGACCATCCAGGCATCGTCGCTGTTCTCCAGCCTCTTCTTCAGCCCGGAGTAGTTCACCACTGAGGGCATTTGCAGGAGACGGATGCACAGCTCTGGCTCTGCATTTTCCAGGTTGGCCTCTGACTGGTCAGTCTCCTGGGGTCCGAGTTTCTCCTTCAGGGCAGCCCACTTCTTGTGGGCACCTTCCTTTTTGATTGACATCGTGAATGGTTTGTTCTGAAAGAAAAAGAAAAGACAAAGTGAGAAGTTTGTCTGGACTGACCAAAAACTATCCAGTAGCCCTGTTTTTTCTGCAGTAGCTGGGAGCCCAACTACAGTAGATCCCAGTTCTCCAGCACATAGGGCACACATTGCAACCAGTCCTCTGTTGAAGAAACTCAATATATCCCCACCTTAACCACACACATTACATTCAGCCTCTGAAGATGCTGTGGAGAGACTTTCAGCACATCCAAGCCAGAAAACACAGCTTTAAAAGTAGCCAATTTACACCAGTCAATTGCCATTACCTATTTTCATGCAGTGAAAGGATAAGGTTGGAAGCAGCATTATCAGCTCTGAACTCCTAATGCCCATTAAACCACTTCAAAATCTCACTGTGCCGGAGAGGCTGTGCAGTTTCTAAGCGTTTGTAATGGGATGGAGAAATCATTTTGAGCATATCCTGCTCATAAGAGCATCCGATTACCCCGTTCCTTTTTCGCTTTTGTTTCTTTTGACTGATGTTGAGGTTAATTTTATAGCACTCACTTAATCCCTTCCTGTCTTCTGTAATAGCAAATACGTTTGTACACATGGTGTTTATGCCTGATAATGTGAGGGTCTGACAGGCTGTGAGTGCAGGTACAGCAGCAGGAGGCTGGCTATGAAAACAGCAGAGCACTGTTTTTGGAGATGAGGAGCAATGGCCCATCTCCCTGGAGGACACGGCCTGTGCAGCCAGGCCATCAGCAGCAAGGAAGGCCAGGAACTGATTCAGCACAGAGAAACTGCAAAGCCAAGTGTAACTCCTGGTGCCAGATTTTATGATTTTAGGCAGGATTATTATTTTTCAGACTCACAGGGATCAAGTCATACAATGCAGGTCCTTTTCAAAGCCGCATGCAATCGTTCTGGACACTGAGATTAGCTCGGTTGGTCAGAGCACGGTGCTAATAATGCCAAGGTTGTGGATTTGATCCCCATATGGGCTGTTCACATAAAAGTTGGATTTGATGATCCTTGTGGGTCCCTTCCAACTCAGAATATTCTGTGAATCTGTGATTCTGTTTTAAAGCTGAATTGCTCCCACCGATGACAGTTTGCCCCACAAGAACTGGTGCTGCCTCCCTGTCCTGCCACACCACCACTACCTCTGTTCCCCTGGACTACTGAGCCTGCAAAGAGCTCAAAATAACCTGAGGCCAGTTGGCCCCAAAACTCAGCACATAGGGGACTGAAGGAATTAAGGGAGAGTCTTGTTTTCCCTTCCCAGCTCAAGCACAAGGCTTTCGAGCCCAGCAGTGACTAGAGAAAAATCTTGAAAAAACTAAATTAAGTAAACTCTGGAAGGTTTTTTTTTTTTCTAGAAAGCCAAGAAAAAAGATGAACCCTTTACACTGGTTAGAAAAAAAAATCTCATTTTAAAGCCCTGCTTGTGATTTTTCCTGGGGACTGTGCCATTGAGAAAGGTCCTGGCTCCTTCCCCTCAGCGGAGCTGCACAGCTTCTGTTTTAACCAAAGAGTAATTTTGGCAATCTCCCCTTGGCAAATATACAGACAAAACTCACTGATTAGTGATAGGCATGATATTATAGGCCTAAACATGCCTCTTGGAAAGACAAAGTGTGATGGGGTAGGACACTTGAAAAATTTCCCTGGGAAAATGTGATGATGGGACTTTCTGGCAGCTCACAGCATCAAAGTCTGCATCAAGAGGCCAGAGGAGTGGAAGAGTTAGCAGGATATGGTGACAGAAAATCCATTTAGAGAGCTCTGAAGAAACCCTCTTGCAGTTTTCTTTTGCTTCAGTGGGAGAGAAGCTGGCCAAGCACCCAGTTGCTCCCTGTTCTGTTAGCTGAAAAAATGATGGTCATGATCCAAAAACATGAAGTGGCAAAAATACCATCTGAGAACACACTGTACAGCTGAAAAGTGATAAAAAGGACCATAAAAAAAACCACAACCCAACCAATCCCCAAACAAACCTCCCTGCCAAAGCACAGGCTTGAGTTTCCAAGATTTGTCATCACTCCCTGCCGCCCAGAGCCCTTACTCACTCTTGGTAAAATTCTTTTCGGGATTAGTCAACCCTAATCTCTCCCCTGTGTTCAAGCCCAGGAATTTGGGTTAGGCTTGATGCAAAGGAGAAGAGAAATCCTTCCTCACTGGAGGAAAAGAAGCAAAAGTTTCCTGCCCCAGGTTTACAGCCCTGGGGATGGGGCAGCATCCCACACCTCTCATCAGTCACAGTGACTGCAAGTCTCCAGTCATGGGGCTGGAGAGGTCCACCTGCAGTCAAATTCCCCTCCACACTGTGCATGGAGCCCAGCCTTCCCTTCCCAATGCTGGGGTTGAGCTGGACCTTCAGTGTAGGGCAGTACTGAGGACCATCTCACCTGGGTGTTGGTCAGCCCGTGGGGCCGCAGAAGCTTTGCCACCTGCAAGCTCTCCTTCTCTTGTGTGACCTCTTTTTATACTCACAAAATCACTTTTTAAATTTGAACATGACTAAACATTTCTTATCCAGCCAGATAACAAAGCAGGCTGACTTTTTGCTCCCAGATGTATGAATGCCTCATTATATTGTATTTGTATTACATTGTACCAGCTACAGCAAGTCAGAGAAATTACAACAGCATTATTGACCTCAGGCTTAGCTGATTCCTGAAAATTAAGCTCCACCAGTGCAACAGGAGACAGGAAATACCAAGAGAGCATCCTGTTTACCAGCAGATTTGTTCTGAATTATCCTTCCCACCCACCTGCTCCGCACAGATGTGAAGAGATGAGAAACAGAACCGGGCAGCACCTCTCCAAACAGTCCTGGCTTGTGTTTTTATGCACTAAAATGAACAAACTGGATTGATTAAATATTCCTCCCTGCAGAGAGTGCACTTTTTTTGTAGGAAAGGATAAAGGTAGCTAATGTATCTAATTGCAAAAAGGGAATAAAATAAACAGGAGCTGTACTATATAAATGGAAAGGAAATGAATATGGAAGAGATGGCAATACGACTCTGCAGATGGTGTGATAAATCTGTTTACAAACATAGATATGAGTGATATATTTTGAATGCAACATCTTTCCATATTTTTCACGAACCAAAGTGCTGCAAAGACGTTCAGATACATCCTTAAAGGGCTGCTGGCTTTGCCTTTTATCTCTGACCGCAGGAGCTTGTTAGCAGGTAAATGATCTCAGCAGAGTGAGACAGACAAGGATTGAAATGGAACACATCTATCTGGCTGGCTCACAGAGGCTATTTAGACTACACTGGCTGAGGGAAGGAAAGTGCCCTAACAAAACCAGACAGGACAGTTGAATACACCTCACCTCTTGCTAGCAGAAGGCCATAGGGAGCTTTGCTTTTTGTTTCCCAGTGCAGAGAGAAGGCTGTGGTGGTGGAGGCAGTGTCCCCAGACCGTGTGCCTGGCTGTGCCTGCAGCACTCATGCTCTGCCTCCCCAGATGCCTGCTCAGCACTGGGGCTTGGTGCTGCTCCCTTGGGCACAACCTGACAGTGTGTCAGTGCTTGCTGCTGTGGGGACACTCACAGCCACAGCAAAGAATTATAGAATAGTTTAGGTTAGATTAAACACCTTTAAGATCATCAAGTCAGAGCATTAACCCAGCACCACCAAGCCCATCACTAAACCATGTCCCCAAGTGCCACATCCACATGTCTTAAATGTAATCTTCTCACCCTCAGAGGCTGGTTAGCCCTGATGGGGAATCAACAAAATGTTAAAGGGTTAGAATGGACCCTAAAGATCATCTAGTCCTATCCCCCACACCAGTGGCAGGGACATCTCCCACCAGACCAGGTTGCTCAATGCCCCATCCAGTCTTGATGTCAGGGTCATGAGATCCACAACCTCCCTGGGCAACCTGTGACAGTGTCTAGCTACCCTCACAGTAAAACATTTCCCCCTCTTTCACTCTGTACCCATTACTCCTTGTCCTGTCATTATAGTTCCTGATGAAGAGTCTCTCTCTGGCTTCCCCATAGGCCCCCTTCAGATACTGGAAGGTTGCTAGGAGGTCTAAAGCTGCATCAATGTAAAAGTACTCTTAATTTTAGGAGATTCCATAGGGAAACATAAAGGTATCCTGAGGGCTTGTGTTCCTGCATGTGACAACAGCAACATCACAATTTGTGATGCCAACTCCTTGGATCACTGGGTTTGCAAAGTTATAATGTTCCCTGCATCCATCCAACCTGGTCTGTAAAATTTCCTCCTCTTCTTTCTAAATCAGGTGCTTCCCAGATTCAGTTTTCTGTGCCTCTCTGTCCTTCAAGTCTGCTCCTAGGGAGATGACATCTGTGGGAGATAAATCAGGGCACATCAATACTTCCTCCATCCTGTGAAGCTGTGGAGAACAGAGCTGCACAGCACAGCTTTCAGTCTAAATTATTACATGCCTCCAGGATGACACGGATCAGAGCAAGGGCTGGGGAGGACATGTAAAAAGAGATTTCTCAGGGCAGCTAAGTATTATTGAGTGAAAACAAAAGGGAGAAAAACTGCAGGTCAAAACTATTCTGATTTTTTGGGGAGCAGACCCACTGCCTGTGCAGAAGAACAGGACTTTGGGGCTGGTGTGTTGAGGGGGAACAGCAGCTCCTTGCTGCCCTTTGAAGAATTCTGGGAGCATCCCAATCCCACATGCTGCCCTCACAGCCCTCTGCTCCCCTCCACAAGGCTGTCAGGGTGAGAAAAGCTCCTTTATGCTGCTCAGTCCCTCCTCCCTTCCCTGCCTGTTCCTGGCACTCAGGAGCCTGTTCTGCCTGGCTGACTGCTAATGACAGGTTTCACTTCTGGGTAGTTCCAGTTTTCCCTCTGCTGCTGGGAAGGTGCCAAGCCTTTGTATTTTGCAACATGTCAGACTACTCAGTCCCTTAAAAGAAACAACATCCTGGCATTGTGCTTTCCAAAACCTCTTCTGGAAGTGTGATGTGTTTCCTCCACCTCTCCAGGAGTTTTGCTTTCATTTGTGCTGTTTTCCTACGCAGT